AAAATGTCAGGATAGTAAACGATACTTCAAATCATGGTTTAAAATCCTGGCTTCTTCTTTAAGTAGAGATTGACCCAGGGGTGGGTTTCAACCGGTTCGCGGGGGTCCCTGTGAACCGGTTGGTTGGTAAGTAACTTCCGGGAATGGCGAAGAGCCCACTTGCGTGCCCGCGCTCCTTACCCGGTTTTGACGAGTTCTGCACTTCCACGCATGCGCAGGACGCATATAGCGCCTGCGCGATCCTCCAGGAGCAGCTGGAGCATCGCACAGACGCTAGTACACATGCGTGCACTGCGCGCATGCATGAGGATGCTGCCGGCCCCGTTCCAACCGAATCGGTTGGAACGGGGCGAGAAACCCACCCCTGGATTGACCCAATTCAAAGTGAAATGGAAGACCATAACTAAGGCTTGTTATACAACCTCAATTTAGTCAGCACATGTTTTATTTGGGAATTTTTGCTCTGTTTCTTTGCTTCTTTCATTTCACAAAGAGTTTTTTATATTTTTAAAGAGTTGCTGATTACGTTGAAGCCCTAGATGGCGTGACACCATCTAGCATCGTGTCACAAACCTTTTCTTTGTACAATCAAAACGTTTTGAAGCTGCAACTCAAGTTTATCAGGGCAAGAAAATGAAATAGGGGGGGGGACCCATTATTATGGGCACTAGATTGTATATGTCTAGAACCTTCAGCAACAGATTTTTCTAATTGCAGTTTGTTGTAGCATAAGCTCAGGCAGCTGAACCCATGCATAACCCAAATCTAAGGCTAATCTGAATGATTGCTACATAGTTGGTTTAATTGTACAACTACTTCAAATAAACTTTCAGTTCTCTGTAAATCTGCGAAAAGTAATTGCACCCCAGGGCTTCTTTGCAGCTAGTTTGTGTAAAAGTAAATGTGAGGGGTTTTACATGAAGAAAGGCACTAATATTAAAAATAGCTTTCCTGTGCTTTCCCCGCATAGCTACAACATCCATTTTTCCACTGGGAGAGAAAAGATTGAAAAAAATGTAAACGTTACATTTTCTACTGAGAATATTTCATGAAATATGCTTCATCTACTCCTGCTTATGTTCGTACATTAGCCAACCATGTGTATGAGCGAGTCCTTAGTCTGCTTCTAGTTTTCCATAAAATCCGCTTTGAATTCCTCTTTTGATCTCAATGTTGTTGTTCATATCTTCCTCCAATCATTAGCTATTATCAATTTAGTATTTGTCATCAGCAAAATCTATCCGAACTGTTTCTGACTGAGCCAGATTCGCAAAACCAAGTAGCAATTGAATTCAGATCATCAGTACTGTCACTACATTGAATCATAGTCTTAAAGAGAATTTTTATAAAATGATGGGATACTGTCATACAACACTGGATAAATGTAAAAAAAAATGTAAAAGGGATTTCAAATATTTGTTGGAAATCTTTAAAAAAAAAGGTACATTTCTTTCCTCTCTGGTGGACATACAAGAAAGCTAAAAAATACCGAGAGCAGATATGTATTCTGATCCAGGAAATTTTAAAAGTGAATGTACAATTGAAACCAAAGACTTTTCTTTTGGATTTAATAGATAAAGAAATGTAAATGTCTTATGGAACTTTGTTTATATATTTGATAACAGCAGCACAATTTTTACATGCACATAGATAGAAGGATCTTCAAATACCTGCAATGGAAAAATGGATGGTGTAGCTAATGGAATTGGCAGAAATGGTGAAATAGACAGCTTTGTTTAAAGAAAACACCTTGAATAATTGTGTTTCTACTTGGGAATCACTTTCAGATTATTTTGCGAGAACAGCAATAATAGCACTTAAGTTTATATACGGCTTGATAGTGCTTTACAGCCATCTCTGAGCTGTTTACAAAGTCAGCATATTTCCCCCAACAATCTGGGTCCTCATTTTACTGATCTTGTAAGGGTGAGGCAGTGAGAATTGAACTGCTGGCAGTCAGCAGAATTAGCTTGCAATACTTCATTCTACCTGCTGCACCACCACCACGGCTCTGGCGACCTGAAAATAGTGAAATGTTGATTTGGGGATTTGATGATTAGAAGTATATGGCATTACAGAAATAATGTAGACTTATGTTAACCTTCGTGTAACAGTTTGATTTGTTTTTTAATTCATATCTGTAACATAGAAAGTTGAAAATCATTTTTCTTTTCCCTTTACTTTTTCTTTCCTACATATCACACATACACACATACACATACACACACACACACTGTATATGCGTGCGCATGTATGTAATGCAAACGTTTGTGTGTTTGTGTGTTTGTGTTCATGTATATTTCTATAGTACTTGTATTTTATACTGCTGTTCTAAGTTTATATTATTCAGATTACTAATTTTAATTTCTTCTTGTTGTATATGTGTAAGTTGAATAAGCTTTTTAGAATATTTGGTTTTCAGATTGTGTCTTAAACATTTTGTTTTGTGGAGGAGGGCCTGTATGTGCTTTCCTTAACTATCTTGGCGTTGTGAATTTGGTTTTGGATATTTTCAATATTTGAATCCCAATTCTCTTGTGCTGGTTAATGACTGCAGTGAAGTTAAATAAGATATATTCCAGTACTTGTTATTAACGTATGCTTGAATTTGTGTCAAAACCTTTTTTGTATTGCCTAAAGGGAAAATGATAACAAATTTGTTGGCTGGAAGAATATATATTGGATTCTATTTCTAATTATTTTCAATTACTTTTGTAACACGGAATTTATGGGGAAAGGGCAGAGTAGATATGTGTAGTTCATCTTGTATCTCAAAGCTGCAGTTGCTCACTCTCTGACTTTAACACAATACAACTCTGCTATTTCCCTAGAATGTCTAGTGCCTTGTTGATAATCTTATGTCTTCTGCCGCCACATAGTGGTTTGTGTAAAAATAGCAGCCAAATAAAACTAAGTTTAATGCATTAATATTACAGCTGAAAGATATTTGTAGGGTCTCTAGCAGATAAATTGTATTGTTTATTTAGGGGATTCTAATTTGGAGTAATTCAAAATTCTTGATGTTCTGTCAGCTGCAGCTTGTAAGATAGGAATAGGAATGGAGAAACGTTTTGTTATTTCTATTTTTCTACCCTTCTATTGGGGGAAAAAAAAATACCATATTTTTTGGAGTATAAGACACTCAGAAGTATAAGATGCCCCTAGCTTTTGGGGAGGAAAGAAAGAAAAAAATCTAACTCTGCCTCTGCCAGCAATTTGCCAATTTGCAGCAAACAGCCTGTTTCAGTTTCAGTTTAGCCTGATTAGCACAAGGAAAAAAATTGCCTGTGCCTCCCAGCAATTTGCCTCCTTGCAGCAAACAGCATGTTTCAGTTTCACCTTTAGCACAGCTTGATTAGCACAAGCAGCTGATTGTTGGTTGGATTGGCCTCCCAACCATCAGCTGTTTCAGGCTGCAGGGATTGCCACAGTCTATTGCCTCCTCCGCACGCCTCATTTTCAGCCTCCGCACACCCCATTTTCTGCCTCTGTGTGCCCCATTTTCCACCCATTCCGGGCGACGGGGATCAGAATGGGCAGAAAATGGGACACGCAGAGGCCGAAAATGGGGCACACGGAGGTGGCAATAGGCAATGGCAATCCCTGCATCCTGAAACAGCTGATGCTCAGGAGGCCGATCCAACTGAAAATCAGCTGCTCGTGCTAATCAAGCTGTGCTGAAGCTGAAAGTAAAACAGACTGTTTGCTGTTTTCTGCAAGGAGGCAGGTTGCTGAGAGGCAGAGACCAAAGGGTGGGGGCGGTGGGTGGGTGGGACTACATTTGGTGCATAAGACACACGCAAATTTTCGCCCTCTTTTAGGGGGCAAAGTGTGTCTGATACTCTGAAAAATACGGTAAATAAACCAGCTGAATGTGGCAGGAATGCTAGCTGCTCAGGAAGGGAGTGAATAGTTTTCAGGGCCTCAGATAATCCCATCATAAAATCAGAAGGAATAAGCCTTAGAGGCTGATAAGTACTGAAGAGAATCACAA